AAAAATGACCTTTTTTCCTTGTGTACATCTTAGTGACATCATTTACCTTGGTCAGGCTGTACTCACTTCACCTATATTCAGTGTTACCTTTCCCATCACCAAAAATACCAAATGTCTACTATCTGGAATGTTTTCCCTTCTTCCCTATACTCTGCCCATCCCTGGTAACCACCAGTGAGTGTTGGTCTCTGTATATGTATCTTTTCTTTTCTTGTCTTCTTGTAAAAGTGAGATCATACAATATTTGTCCTGTTGTAATTGACTTATTTTACTCAGTATAATGTCCTTCAGGTTCATCCACATTATAAGATGTTTTGAGGACTCGTTCCATATACATTTTAAAATAAACTTTGCAGGTTTCATGAACAACTCCGCTGAGAGTTTGATTAATAATTAACGTTTATATACTGCTTATTATGTGACAGGCACTGTTCTAAGCAATTTGTTTATATTAACTCATAATCTTGACAAATTTATGAAGGCAGGTATGTTATGCATTTTGCAGATTAAGCAAGTGAGGAACAGCCAGACTAAGTAATTTCCCCAGGGTCACTCAATAAATGGCAGATTCAGTAGTCTGGCGCTCAAGCCCTTACTCTTAGTATACGTTGTTGAAGTTACATCAACACTCATTATGTGGAATTTATACCTTTACAGTATTGGTCTTTCTGTTCTTAATGTGTTTTAATAAATTGCTATAGTTATCACTGTATGTTTCTTGCACATCTTTGGTTAGATTTGAATTCTGTGTTCTGTTTTTTTTTTTTAAAAATCTTGTAGCCAGCTCTTTTGCTGAACTCTCACTAGAAGTTATAAAGTCTATTTAGGCAATAATAGGTACAGATAATGACAGTTGTGTTCCTTTTTTCTGTCCTTGCTCATTCCTTACTTCCCCCCTTGTTTTGTTTCATTGTTCTGGCTGGGACCTCCATGCAGTCGAGTCCATCACGTGCTCCTTGGAAACCCTATGGGACAGTTCTACTCTGTCCTGTAGGGTCGCTATGAGTTGGAATTGACTCGACGACGGCGGGTTTGGTTTTTTTCTTTTTGGTTGATTTGCTGAGATAAACCTAGCTTGGTCATGACTGTTTATTTTTTCTTTTATATATATTGATGACTTGTTTGCTAATATTTATTTAGGATTTTGACATCTAAGTTCATATGTGAGATTGGCCTGTGATTTTCCTTTATTTATACTTCCTGTATCTGGTCTTTGGTGGTTTTTTTTTTTTAATTCTAGTTTTCCCTGTATTGTTTTAAAATTATACATTTTATTTCTTTTTTTTTTTTTAGTGATTACTCTTGAAATTTATCATATATACTTAAAGTGTAGTTAAACAATATCTGAACCCCCTTTCCCATCAATACAGGGCCCTTAAAACACTTTAATCATCTTCTCATAACATATCCTACATGATAATGTGATGAACTATTTTAATTCTTTTAAAAATAACCTCTACTATTAGATAGTATATTAGGTTTATTTGGATTTGAATATATGATAACCATTTAGTTGTTCAACCATTTCTTCTTACCGTTTTAGGTCTTCTATTTAGGGGTATTTTCCTTTTTCCCGAAGTGCATCTGATAGATGTTCTTCTGATAAAGTCTGTTGGTTATAAGTTTTTCTTTCTCTGTCTCTCTCTTTTATTTTTCATACAAATGCTTTTATTCTTATTCTTGAAAAATAATTTTGTTGTGTTACGTTTCTAGGTTGACAGTTATTTTCTCTTCCACGTTTTGAAGATGTTCTACAGTATTCTGGTTTCCGTTTTTGACATTAGCAAGTTTGTTAGTCGGTCTAACTTGTTTCTTTTCACCTTGCAAGATGCAGCATCTTTCTGTAGTAGATCTTTAAGATTTTTTGCTAGATCTTCCTTCAAACTGTGGGTGTTAAGCATATATTATTTGTCTTCTCTGAAATAAATTTCTACTACAATCTTAAAGAAGCATTTTTGGTGAAAGTTTTATTTTTTAGTGCCTTTTTTTTGGTCTCTTGTTGTTTTAAGTGCTGTGACCTTTATGACCTTTGTTTTTAATTTATTCTGTTTTTTCTTTAGTTACCTTTCCGCACCTTACTGGTTCTGCTCCTTCGTGGCCTAGTCTGGTGGACACCAGCAAGCAGTGGGACTATTACGCCAGAAGAGAGAAAGACCGAGATAGAGAAAGAGACAGAGACAGGGAGCGAGATCGTGATCGTGACAGAGAACGAGAGCGCACCCGAGAGAGAGAGCGAGAGCGCGATCATAGTCCTACACCAAGCGTTTTCAACAGGTTTGTTGAGTGTGAAAGAATTTGTACACGTGTATTTCATATACACTTTAGAATTTATGTTCAGTGTGAGGATGGAAAACCCAATTCAGTTGAAGAACACTTGAGAAAGCCGTTTTAAAACCATCCATAAAAACCCAAAAAAATCAAATCCCTTGCGGTTAAGTCTGTTCCGACTCATAGCGACCCTATAGGACAGGGTAGAACTGCCCCATAGTTTCCAGGGAGCAGCTGGTGGATTTACACTGCCAAACTTTTGATTAGCAGCCAACCTCTTAACCACTGCACCACCAGGGCTGTTTAATTCTTAGAGGCTTTCCATTACCTTAAACAACAGTCTTCAAACATGTTCGTTCTCTTATCCCTTAAAAGAGTTTTAATAACTTTGTACTCCCTCATATTTTTATCTTGCTATCTAAAATTTTTCACCTTAAATTTAAATAATTACAAAAATGTACAAGTTCCAGTGTATTTTTTAAATTAGCATTTTAAAATAAAATAGTCCTCATTTTTAAATAAATCCAATGGATTCATAACGTCATAGTGATTTGTTATGTGCTACCATCCATTTTAAAGAATGCATAATCAGGCTCTTTTTAATAGTTGGAAATTTTACATTTCTTTTTGTGCTTCAGTTTGTATTTTTGTGACACTTCCCCCAGAGAATTTATTCTAATGTAAAATATTTTTATTCCTGGAAAAAAGAATTTTTTTAAATTGATCATCCTGTCAGTCTTACCTGAAAAAACCCTATGTGTGTAACTTAAAATGTTTTAAAAGTTATAGCCATAAAACTTGATGTTTAAAATTTTTTATACTGAGTTTAGTTCTCATTTGGAATATAAGTATATTGCAGTATAAGTATATTGTAAGTTCTGAAAAAAATTGAAGGAAATGCATCTCTTAATGTGATAGAGGAGCTTTCCCCCTGCCTCTAATTAATATATGTATTCATGAATGAATATTACTATTGTTAGGATAAAACAGGGTTTGCTGTTAACTGCTTTTAATTTTTATATAGATGTAGACACTCAGAGACCTTGTTCACATAAATATGTAGATAAGCATACAGTTTTGTTAGGCCTCTTATCACTCAGTTATTTGAACACCTTTAGATTTAGTGGTAAGCTCAAAATTATATAGTTAACCTGTTATCAAAATTATTTTTAAGGATCTATAATCTCGCAGCCCAATTTTGTTGAAAGCAGACACTTGGAAACGACATCTCTACCAAAAGAATTCTTTTAAAAAATGAAACACTTTTATTTTATGTTTGTTAAGTATTTATTTTTATTCAAACCTTGGAGCTATATATTTCCCTCACTCCATTTGTGGAAAATAGCTACTGTGTAACTTAATTGGTAACAGACAGTTCTCCTGTCAAACCAGCCAGCCAAATCACACTCAATTTCTGTCAGAAACAAAGTTAGGTTTAATTTTTAATGAGTTAATCCATACTTCGCATGTCAGTCTAAGAAAAGCAGAATGGTCACATAGCCCAAAATAAAGTGTTACCTCCCAACACTTTGTTTTGCTTGACTGTCAGAAGACTTGCCTTCAGAAGGATGCATTTTTTTTTATTTTTGATACTAGTTCAGGGAAAGAAGAGGCAGAGTCTTTAGTGGAAATTTGTTATAACTCCCACCATATTACTCTATAGTCGCTCTGAACTTAGAACATCCCAGGTCACAAACCAGATTACTCCATTTTGTACTCCACGTTTTGTCCTTAAAAGAAAGATAAATAAGACAGGGAGGACACAAAGCCCCATAGAAGCTTTATGGACCTTGAATAAAATAGGTGTCACTGATACTAATATTTTAAGTTAGATCTTTTTGCTACTATGATGGTTTTTATATCTCGAGCCAATACACCATAGTAAGATTGGTGAAAGGAATGCCTTTCTTTTATAAAAGCAGAGGAGGGCAAGTGTGAGAGTACAGGTTGACTGGAGAACTGGCACGATGTTTTACTTGCATCTTTATTGTTAGGCGGTTCAGATTTAGGAAAGAGTAAATATTGAAGCTGAGGATCTGGAACTTGATTCCCCAAAACTTTCCATGCCACTGTGAAGAACTCATGTACTGCTGAGGTATTAGCATGTATTGCTGTCCTAAAGAATAAATTCTAAAATTCTTTTTTTATGATACATGAGTCACTTTACAATCTGGCCTCAGCCTACCTGTCTACATTCTAACCTCAATTCCCTGCCAAACCAATACACTTTATGTTCCAGCTATACTGAAGTGGTTGCTTTTCAGGAAATCCACCATAGTTTTCGTACTTCCTTTGTTCATGTTGTTTCTCTCTTTGCCTCACAGACTTTGCTTCATCTTTCAGGGTTGAGCTCACATCCCAGCTTCTGTGAGCCTTTCTGAACCTTATAGACAGAATTATTTTCTTCATATGCTTCCTAAGCACTCTATATACTTTCTTTAAAGCAAGTATGTCTTAGTATACCTTTTAAAAGGCACTGACCACCGTTTTTCATTTTTGTATTCTCAGCAATTTATACAGTGCTTGATACATAATGAATGTGTAAATGAAAAAATGACAAACATTTCAAGGGAGGAGGGTGAATACAGTAGAAAAATAAAAAATTTTAGAAAAAGTTAATAAAATGTAATTGTGTTACCTAGACAGTTTTTGAAATGAATAAAAATAACCGTTATCATTATCAGCCACCACTCTTCTGTCACTTTTTCGTACTGTGGTGGCTTGCGTGTTGCTGTGATGCTGGAAGCTACGCCACCAGTACTTCAAATACCAGCAGGGTCACCCATGGTGGACAGGTTTCAGCAGAGCTTCCAGACTAAGATAGACTAGGAGAAAGGACCTAGTAATCTACTTCTAAAAAACAGTTGGCCAGTGAAAACCTTACGAATTACAGCAGAACATTGTGTCATAATGTGCTGGAGGATGAGCCCCGCAGGCTGGAAGGCACTCACAGTACGATTGAGGAAGAGCTGCCTCCTCAGAGTAGAGTTGACCTTAATGACATAGATGGAGTTAAGCTTTTGAGACCTTCATTTGCTGATGTGGCATGACTCAAAATGAGAAGAAACAGCTGCAAACGTCCATGACCAAAGAACAGATTGTTGGATGACATTGAGGACATCATACGTGAAGAATGCAAAAAGTCATTAAAAAGACAGGAAAGAAAGAAAAGACCAAACTTGATGTCAGAAGAGATGCTGAAACTTGCTCTTGAATGTAAAATAGCTAAAGCAAATGGAAGAAATGAAGTAAAGGAGCTGAACAGAAGATTTCAAAGGGCAGCTCAAGAAGGCAAAGTAAAGTATTATAATGACATGTGCAAAGACCTAGAGATAGAAAACCAAAAGGGGGGAAAACGTTTGGCATTTGTCAAACTGAAAGAACTGAAGAAAAAATTCAAGCCTCGAGTTACAATATTGAAGGATTCTATGGGCAAAATATTGAACAATGCAGGAAGCATCAAAAGAAGATGGAAGGATTACACACAGTCACTGTACCAAAAAGATTTGGTTGGCATTCACCCATTTCAGGAGGTGGCATATGATCAAGAACTGGTGGTTCTTGCACTGAAGGCTTTGGCGAAAAACAAGGCTTGAGGAATTGATGGGATACCAGTTGAGATGTTTCAACAAACCGATGCAGCGCTGGAAGTGCTCATTTGTCTATGCCAAGAAATTTGGAAGACAGCTGCCTGGTCAGCCAACTGGAAGAGATCCATATTAGTTACCATTCCAAAGAAAAGTATTCCAGCAGAATGCAGAAATTATCAAATAATGCCGTTAATATCACACAAATAAAATTTTGCGGAAGATAATTTAAAAACGGTTGCAGCAGTACATTGACAGGGAACTGCCAGAAGTTCAAGCCGAATTTAGAAGAGGACGTGGAACGAGTGATATCATTGCTGATGTAAGATGGATCTTGGCTGAAAGCAGAGAATACCAGAAATCTGTTTACCTATGTTTTATTGACTTTGAAAAGGCATTTGATTGTGTGGGTCATAATAAACTATGGATAACATTGCAAAGAATGAGAATTCTGGAACACCTAATTGTGCTCCCATGGAACCTGTACACATACCAAGAGGCAGTCCTTCAAAAGAACAGGGGGATACTGTGTGGTTTAAAATCAGGAAAGGTTGTGCGTTAGGGTTGTATCCTTTCATCATACTTACTCAGTCTGTGTGCTGAGCAAATAATCTGAGAAGCTGGACTGTATGAAGAAGATTGGCGCATCAGGATTGGAGGAATGCTCATTAACAGCCTGCGATATGCAGATGACACATGCTTGCTGAAAGTGAAGAGGACTTGAAGTGCTTGCTGATGAAGATCAAAGACCACAGCCTTCAGTATGGGTTATACCTCAACATAAAGAAAATAAAAATCCTCACAACTGGACCAGTAAGCATCATCATGAGAGAAAAGATTGAAGTTGTCAAGGATTTCATTTTACTTGGATCCACAATCAACGCCTGTGGAAGCAGCAGTCAAGAAATCAGAGGACCCTTTGCATTAGGCAAATCTGATGTAAGACATCTTTCAAGTGTTAGAAAGCAAAGATACAACTTTATGGACTAAGGTACGCCTGACCCATGCCATGGTATTTTTAATTGCCTCACGTGCATGCGAAAACTGGACTATGAATAAGGAAGACCAAAGAATAATTGATGCCTTTGAATTATGGTGTTGGTGAATAATACTGAATATAACATAACTGCCAGAAGAACAAACAAATGTGTCTTGGAAGAAGTACAGCCAGAATGCTCCTTAGAAGCAAGAATGGTGAAACTTTGTCTCAGGTACTTTGGTCATGTTATCAAGAGGGACCAGTCCCTGAAGAAGGACATCATGCTTGGTAAAGTAGAGGGTCAGCGAAAAAGAGGAAGACCCTCAAGAGATGGATTGACACAGTGGCTGCAATAGTGGGCTCAAACATAGCAAAGATTGTGAGGATGGCACTGTACTGGGCAATGTTTTGTTCTGTTGTACATAGGGTAGCTATGAGTAAGAACTGACTCAGCGGCCCCTAACAACAGTCATTATCAATGCATTAATTTGGCCAAGTAGAATAAAATTAAGTTCAAGATGATTTTTTTATACTAGCTATTTTTTCAGGTGAAATATATAAATGTAAGGCATCTAGACAGCTTTTCTGATTTTGCTGCATGAAATGAAGCTGTATATAACCAGGGTGCTAACACATGCCTGATTCAGGCATCATTTGTTCTTGTGAAGTGTGGTCATGTAATCATAAACTTCTCAACCTAAAAGGTCTTTAGAGGTTATCTGATCCAAATCTTGACTTGTCAGCTGAGGAAATGGTAGCATAGAGAAATTAATGGTAAAGCCATACTATCTACTGAGGATGTGCTTGTAATATTGCTTAAAGTTCTTTCTAGTCTAAAAGTTAAAAATTCTGTTGTTTTTTTCACTCTTGTCATCCCTCTTTATGAACTTGATCTTTAAAAAATAAAGGGAAAGACCTTCATTCATTATCCAGTATTTTCTGAGTCCTTATCACGTACCAGGCACAGTGCTGTGTACTGAGGATAGAGAAGTATTCACATACTTTCCTTACAGGTTTAGCCTTATTATCAAGATGACTCGTGCTGGTTGGTAGCATAAAATTTTACCCAAAAAGACTGTGCAAGAAGAAACTGAATAGGATTTATTAATCTTTTTTCTTTCTTGTGCCTCCTAATTATATGACTTATACATTATAGGTACTTAATAAAATTGTATTGATCAAATAAGTAAACAAAAGTAATATATATGCGTATATATAAATTTGTGTATGTTTATGTGTGCGTGTACATTTTGTGTGTTTGATAGAACGTGCTGTTTACTTCAGCTACTTAAATGCATGATTCTGTTAAATCTAAGGGCATTATTTTCCAGAAAGATGAATTGTTTCTAATGGATTTAAAAGGAATATATTTGAGGTAGCACTGCAGTGTTTAGAATGTACATATTCACAAGTAAGGAGTTTAATGAGAAATGGATAGGAAAGGAGACAAAAATGAACTGCTTTGCTAGAAGTCATAAATTTTCTTTGCTTCGAAAATAAAACATTTGTAGATTTGAGCCTAAATCCTCTGATTCTTCCATTGAAAACACAGATGCACAATTAATATTTAAGTTTTACTGAAACTAAAAGTGTTAATGGTTAAACAAAGCTTGATTGTCAAGTTGTTGAGCTGTAGGGCAGCAGGAGTCAATGTTTATCTAAGCCTGACTAAAAGTCTAAGGCCAAAGAAGCAGGAAGGTGGAGGAATTTATGTTGTTCTGAATTATCCCAGGAATGAAGTATAGTCTGAAAAAGCCAAATGAAGTATGAGAAAAGGCTGTTTTTTCCTGAAGACTGACATTTTAGCAATATGGCATGTTGTATGTGTTGTGTTACAAATTACAGGGTCATTGTTCTGAAAATTGCATACCAGTTTCAACATCTGTTTTTTAGGCAGCTTAATTGTAGGCCAGAAAGAAGGCTAGTCATTCTAGGGTGTTTGAAATGAGCTCTAATGATTTCCAGGCCCAGAGAAACCTTTGTGCTGCTGCTGCATATCAGAATGGGGCATGGAAGAAGAGGTCTTTACATTTTGTGTGTGGCGACTAAATCATCCACCATCTGTAGTGAAGTTCCCACCACATGGCTATGTTCAGAATCTATAGGCACCAAAGCTAACAAGAGTTGATTTGAGAGTAAGAGGGGAAGAGAGGGTTACAGAAGACAAATTATAAGATAATTGACCTTAATTATTTTTGTGTAAATCTAGTTCGAGTGATTGTAACAGTCCTATTTTTTAAGAGTTAACTCTAGTATTCATTTGCCATGGTGCTGGTTTATTCTACTTAAGATGTATAGTAATTATTACAGGGTCAGTCATCTTTACAAAAAAAAGTTCTACTTCTGAAAATTAAGCATTAAATTCACTAGAGACAGTGAGACTGCATGATAGCTGCTGTTTATTGAGTGCCTACTCTTGTACCAAGCACTTTATAAATGTTATCGTGAATACTTAAACAACAGCCTTGAAAGGATTGTTGCCCATTTTGCAGATAAGAAAACTAAGCATACAGTGCTGTAAAAGATATTTTTATCCATTCTCAGTAGAGAGTTTACTGATGATAGTAGAAAAGGTTGACTTCTATGCTTTAAAAAAAAGAAAATACGAGAAATGAAAGATTGAGAGAAAGATGGAGGGAGGCATGTTAGTCAAGGGACATGAAAGAAGCGCAGGTGGAAAGAGATACAGAAAGACCACCCTCTGCCTCTGGCCATCAGTTCTAGTTTTGCCAGTTCATGAAATTCTATCCAGAACCAGATGATGGAGGTGCAACTTGAATTTATGTATTTGAAGTTATTGGCATTAGCTTTGCATTACTTCCATCACAAAAATTTACTAGGCTTTTACATTTCTTTATTGGAAGCCTATAATCTTATATTAAGGTACTGTAGGAGATAGTAAATGTAAGGAATAAAAAGAAAGAATGAGGTGTTGGAAGTAATAATAGAGTAGTCATCTTTTAACTGTTTATCAGCCACGGCTCATTACTGAGGTTAGATAATGGACCAAAATACTTTTCTGCAAATCTATATGGACTGTGTTACCTGTGTCATTTATTTCTAAAATTGTGATACAGCTGAAGCCCTGAGCATGAACATTAATCAACTCTGTATTGCTGCCAGACAGACTCAGTTCTTTTTTTACTTTCTCCATTTTAGTGACCAAAGAGATGGTCTAAGGTTACTGAATCAGTAGTTGTATTAAAATTCTAAGATTAATTTTCTAAAGACTGGGAACTATATGTGGAGGAAAGGAAGTCTTGTTGAGCATGATAGCCATTGCTTTTTTTTTTTTTTTTCATGATTGGAAAATCTGATCAAATTTTATTAGATTGAAATATATTAGGCATTAGGAGAAGTCTAGAACAAAAATCAAGTAGATGAATCCTCAGGTGTTGGAAAAATGAGTAGAGATTATTATCTGAAATGGTCTAATCCCAAATGCTGTTTGTATGTCTACTTATACTAGATAATGTACAATAAAATTGAATTTTTATTTAAGGTTGAAGATATTGTTGGTTTTAATTTCTGTTAATTTATTGAGCCAAAGTGTTAAAATCATTTTTTCCATTCAAGTGCTGTGTGTTCTTTTAATGAAAAAGTAATCTGTCATCTGAATATATAAAAAATTGTTTATATTTTTATAAGGCAAGAAATATATAGTAGCCCCTTTAAATATAGTCACCCCGTGAGATAATACTTGTATGTACTTAGAACAGTCCCTGACATTAGTTAAGTGTTCAATGAAGGTTAGTTATGTTTATTATTAGTTTATCACTTAATTTCAGGCCCAGATACTTCATAGAATATAGTGAATCTTGTCAAGGTTTCAGAACTATAACAAAATTCATAAAATGCTAAACCATTCCTTAAAAAACCTTTGCTTTAATTCTTTATCAAATGGAAACCTTCCCCTAATATGCTTGGAAACAATACCTGTCTTATAGTAGTATACTTTTATTTTTTTAATCCTCATACTGCTAACTCGTCAGTTTAACTTCGATTCTTTGGTCTTCAAATCCAGAAGGCTGTTTAAAAGCTTAATATGTTCTCTCTCTGTTTGTCTGTATTTGCATTTGTTTAGATTGTGCATTTCACACAGACTTAATTGTTTGCATGTCGGTCTCCCATTTGAGATTATGTTCCTAAAGGCAGGGGCTATGTCATGTTTGTTTCTCCATCCCTAGAGCCTAGCTCAGTGCTTGGCACATTATTGTTTTAAGTCAGGGATAAAAATACCAGCTCTGTGCTCTGTGTTTCTAGTCAACTAGGCACTCTGCTTAGCGTGAATAGTAATTGAATCCTCAAATAATTTCTCTTAAGATAGAAACTATTATCCATACCTTTTGGTTGAAGAGAACATACTGAGTAGTTTCATAACTTGCCCTTGATCACATAGCTAGTAATTGGTAGAGTCAAGATTAAAATTTGGCTCTGTTTGACTCAGCCAGTAATCTTATAAACACTTTATTGTACTGAAATGTTTGCTAAAGTGGACTGAAGGTAGCCTGCTATATGAAGTTTATATTTCTGAACTGCACTATGATTATTTATTTTTTCACTATGCTTATATTTTGTTAAGCAAATTTTAACCTACTTTTAACAGTCCAGTAGTCAAGAAAACTTGTTTCTGTTCCAATTTCAGTGATGAAGAGCGATACAGATACAGGGAATATGCAGAAAGAGGGTATGAGCGTCATAGAGCAAGCCGAGAGAAAGAAGAACGGCATAGAGAAAGACGGCACAGAGAGAAAGAGGAAACCAGACACAAGTCATCTCGAAGGTTTGCTCTTTAGTAAAATATTGATTCATTTTGAAGCTAAAATTTGACTTCATGAAATAAAAACAAAGACTTCCAAATAACCAGGAGAACGTATGTACTCTTAACTGGAAGATTCAGAAGAACCTTTTGAAATAGTTGGTTGAAATATGGGGCTTCGACAGAGATTCTTAAATCTAACTAATGAGACTACATTTAATACCTGTAAACCAAAGTTAGCATGGAATAAAAAATAATATGTTGATATATTACAGTATCTCATTGGGAGAAGAGGAAATTGGCATATGAACCAATCTTTAATAGTAAATATTAAGCAAAGCAGTGTTCAGTTTAATCAAAATTAGAGGCCTTGTATTCTCAAAAATAAGTTTTAATACTTATAAACTATTCCCTGGTCTGGTTTAGCACTTCAGTTTCTGGTTTGTAATTAGATTTTCAGAATAAAGTATATGGATACTGGGAATCTGGAATAACATTGAAAATGAGCTTAGAATATAATGTCTGTGTAAAAGACATGTAAACTAATCACTACCCAAATGTGTTTATGAGAAAGAGAAAAAGAATGAATTAAATTATTTAAAACCCAGTCTGGGGAAAAAAAAAAAAAACAGTCTAATGTTAATTCATTTAGACAAAGTGTTGATTTTTGTCACAACTTGTGTACTAACAATTTTAAACAGCACCTACACTTTTTTTTTCTTCAGCAATAGTAGACGTCGCCATGAAAGTGAAGAAGGAGACAGTCACAGGAGACACAAGCACAAAAAATCAAAAAGAAGCAAAGAAGGAAAAGAAGCTGGCAATGAGCCTGCCCCTGAACAGGAGAGCACCGAAGCTGCACCTGCGGAATAGGCAAGGTTTTGGCCCTTTGTGTATATTAGTGCCAGAAGTAGAGTCTATAAATCTTGTTATTTTTCTGGATAATGTTTAAAAAATTTACCTTTAATCTTGTTCTGTTAGTATAAAAAGGTAACTTTTTTCCCCAAAATAAAAGTGAATTTTTCATGTTAAGTTAAAAATCTGTCTCGTAATATTTAAAAAAATAAAAAGCAATGACTTTATATCCAAGAAAGAATATGAATGAGTCACTCAGTGGGGAATTTAAAGAGCTATCTATGTTTAGCTCTTTAAAGCTAAAAACAAATTGTTTATTACCTGTGTGCACACACAGTATCTTGATAAAGGTCTAGGCTCTACCTTGGGCATAGTTTCCTTGAGTGAATCAAAGACCAGTCTCCTAACAGGGTGCATGGTAAAAGGTATCCAAAGGCACCTCTGAGTCTAGAGATTAAAGCTAGTCTTTATCGTTACTGTGGTGGCACTCTTGCTCAGCATATTAAAGGACTTGTACATGTTTTTGATATCACAACTTTTTCATAGCAGGTTTTTAGTGTTCTAAATTTGGGTTTCTGGTGAAACTAGATGGGGCACTTTTATATCCAAATTAATAAAATCTATAAAAGCGTTTTGGTGGCCTGTGTGAAATAATTCATCCTTGGTGTAGTTCCTAGCAGGTATATGTACAAACACTGGTCACTGTGAGACAAATTTGAATCTCCTCATGGCCATTCAGAGTGAAGCTGGTTTGGCCTGCCTTGAAGCTTTTTCCAAGGCTCGTTGGTAAAACAGTATGTGGAGTTGTTTATACAGTTACAAGCTATATTGTGAAGAAAAATAAACTTAATAGCAAGTGCTTTATATAAGTCGTTTCTTGTCAAAACTGAGAAAATGCAAGTTTATAATTCTGTGAGTATTTTTAGAGATAACCCTAGGAGGTGTTTGTCTGTGATAGTAATAGGTAACATGGTATTTGAGAGAATGAATTACTAGGATCTTTTTAAATAGTGACAGTAGAAAAGAACTTAATGACTGTTACGTTAAAGACAGCTATAGTTTTTGAAAAATATTTATTCTTATTTGATGAAAGGAACATTTTTCAGTAATGCACTTTTAAAATCCTCTGGCTTTAAATTATTTTTTAAATGCCCATAATGCACCCTCTGCAGACCTCAGCATATACCAGTTTCTTAATTTAATTGTATGATTGGAATTCAGTGGGGCATGCAAACCATTTCAGCTGTTTAAGGACTTTTTATTGAATAGAAAAATATAAACGTAAAGTTGTGGAGTGATGAAATCCTCCTCCACATAGAATAAAAACTATTAGTAGTAGTTTTCATTTTTTGAGAGTTACTTTTTCTGAGGTGTATTTGGCTTTCATGAGCTCATACTTTTCCTGACTTTAACATTTATATTTTTACAGTGTATTCTTTAAATATAAAAATTCACAAGATAAATATATTGTTTCAACTTAATTGGCCTATTTGTGATTTTCTGTTTTTCTATGACTTCACTGATTCTATAAAAAAGTGCCAGGCCAAGAAACAATAGTGAGAGTAATTCTTCCCTTAAGTTCTTTCAGCATCTTTGCCAAGCAAGCATGTAACATTCCTGATGTACTTCTACCATTGACGGCAAGAAGAATGTCACCACATCTAAAAACAAAACCAGATACAAGATTAGTATCTTAATAGGTGAAGTTAATGCAAGTTTATTTTCATGGCTCTGGTTTTTGTTACATCTGTCAGTTTTAATGACATTGCTTATAATTAAGGCTTTTTCCCCCCTCCTCACTTAAATTCTCCAACTCTCCCATCTGTTCAGCTTGTATTAGAAGGAAGTTGTAGTATGGGACCAAGAGTAAATGAATTTCTTAGAAGTTGAATGCTACACAAATGTTTTTAATTTCAAAAAAAAAAGAATAGAAAAATATAAACTTAAATTTATGGAGTACCAAGATATCCTCCACATTGAATAAAAATTATCAGTAGTCTTCATTTTTTGTTATTTTTTCATAATTATATGCCTTATTTCTAAAACAAAATATGAACATTTAGATTTTTTTTTTTTTGGTTAAATAGTCATTATGATTACCTAATTCTTCCATCATTGTATGCTGGTGTTCCTTCAACAATGGATTTGATAAAAAAAGGTTTGTTCCCATTGTATTCTTCGTAACCTCCTACAATGCAGAAGCCCAGACTTCCAGCTGTGTTTCTTCGTAGTACAACATCTTTACAGTTACACAAGTGTCTGAAATAGAATGTAATCGATGTATATGCACAGTTAAGTTTAATGATTGTGATTCGGTTTCCCTTCCCTTTGTTGGCTTTCTTTTCTTAAACTAAGTAGTATCACAGGCCTTAGTCAAAATTGTGTCATGGCAAGGTGGCCTTTGTGCTATTAGCTGCCTCTGTTTTTCACAGCTCAACACTAAAAAAAAAAAAATGACACCGTCTGTTACACTGTTTATACTTCTGCTGGGAAAGATAACCATATTTTTTGTTTAAATAAGACTTAATGCCTTAATTTGTATTAGCAAAGAGTTGGAGATGCATAAGTCCTTATTGATAAACCAAATTCAAACATTTATGGATATCGTATTTCTACTTAAGAATATAAATAATTTCTAATGAAGGCAAAAATTATTTGAATAAATAACCTCAGTTAAAAAAAAAACTATAGTATTTGTGGAGGTTATTTTAACCTTTGGAAAACAGCAGTTTATACATAGTTTACGTGTTTGATAGCTTATAGTAAAGCATGCAGACAAAGTGAATAGAAATTGTACATTTAAAGATTATTAAAAACAATTCATATTTGGGAAAAAAACACAAGGTGGCAGTAAAGTGAATAGCAGGTTAGAAAAGGAATGGGAGAAGGAAAGCCTACACAGGTCTTCTGTAAATGAGTAGAATCCTTGGCTAAAATAAGTAGATTGAAGAAACAATTGCTTTATATTCAGTGGCAGTTGGATCAGTGTTAACATAGGTGCAGGCTAAGTGCAGACTTAAGAGTTATGATAAGTTGTGTTGGGAGCTCAAATCCCCCTGTCCACTTATGTGTAGCTGTAGTGCAGGAACTTGTTTGAGAGAAAATTAGAATTTTCATGTTCATAAAAATCAAGATATGACTGTTTTATAAACTGTACCTTAACTAACTGCTTTTAAAAAAAACAATAAAAAGTCTTGTGAAATGTTTTGTTAAGTGATGAAGCTGGTCATTACATTTGTTACCAACCTGGTGGATTCGAACTGCCGACAAACAGCATACAATGTTTTTCTTGTAAAATAGTCATCTCCTGTATTTCACATTGAGATTTTGTTTTAGCAGTAAATTCACCAATAGAAGATTGGTGTGTTAACCATATTTACAGAATAGTTCACTGACTGCTTCAGTACAAAGCAGGTAATTGACTTTCCCAAATGCCAGAGCATTACATTCCCAGCTGGGGGGACTGTGTGCCCAATTTTAGGGTGAAAGGAGGTAGAGAATTAGGTTCTTATACAAGATCATGATCAAATACCTGTCTTAACATTTCCCAGCCTTGATTTTGTAAAATACATGCATGGGTAGATAGAACAATACTTGAAACTTGCTGTCAGTGTTTCTTATTCTTTCAATCATTGATTAAGTGTATTTTTTCATTAAATATCTCCTTGGACCTTTCAGTTGACTCTCTTGAGTATTTCATGTGGACAAGCTATAAGCCTATCTGTCTAGAACATTCCAGTATTAAAGTGTTCAGTGTTACGTGTTAAGTCACAAGTGTGTCTGGCTATTTTCTTAGACCCTTGTCTTGATACTGAAAAGGAAGTATCTGCTTTGATCATCTTTCTGCTTATGTTTACTGAGTGCATATGGTGGTGCAGTGGGTAAGAGC